AAAATTTATTGTGCGATTAACACTCGTTCGGAACAACAATTGCTGATTTGGAAGTTGGTCTGAGCCATAATTAAATTAAAACCCGTGAATTAGAGCCCCGATTTAACATATAAGTTTGTGAATTTTAGAAATTTTAAAATCGCTCAGACATGCCCACGCTTAATCGCTACAGTCTTCATCAAATAGCCACAATTTTATCGAATTATCGCGCAAAGTCAATAAGAGAACTTTAGAGTAAGATCTAAAGAGGTGTTTTATGGGTGCTCCATCAGCGGTACCATGGAAACACGCAGCAAATGGTAGGTCTGTATTATATAATGATATCACCTATATTTACTGTCAAGTGCAGTGGATAATTAGAAACAACAATCATTTTTAAAGTGAGGGATCTAAAATTAAGCCTGGGTTTATTTGAATTTTGAATTACAAATTTAAAAAATCACGGTATCAGCTCATTGACTTTACTTTTTATTTAGAAAGTTTTTACTCATTTTCAAACAAATTTGAAATCTTAATTTTTTTCTGGTTAGCCTAGCTCAAAGATTTCGTATGAATTTTAAACACAATCATATTATCATCTGATCATCTGATCGGAAATGCTAATTTATTTCAGCTTTAAACGAAGTTAAATGTTGATATACTACTACCCCCCCCGGCCCCCCCCGCCCCCCCCCCCCCCCATTGTACTTTCTCCTTTACTAACACACCCCCCCCCCCCATTGTACCCTCTCCTTTACTAACACACACCCACTTGTAGACTGTACCCAGGCCTACCCTCTTATGTGATATATCTATATTATAGTACTGCCTCCCTAGCTGTACTGTGGCCTGGGAGGCATATTGTCTCTTTCGAGGGGCACCTGCAGGGGTGTAGGAAGCGGGGGGGCAGGGGGGGCCATCGCCCCCCCATGAAATCTGGGCAAGGGGCCAAAAAGGGCCAACTTTTTAATTTAGGTTTCTAAAAATTTTTTAAGTCAAAAATTTTTTAAGTCAAAAATTTTCTGAGTCAAAAATTTGCAAAGTTTTCTTGAAACTTTGAACAAAATACTTTTGTTCATGTTTCATGCTACCCTGATCATTATGAGCCAAAAATATTTTTTTCGGTTTTCGAAGTTCAATATACGATTTTGGACTCGAGGGTTCCCCTTTGTAATGCGATCTCGGAAGGCAGGCCTCCCTTTCGCAATACGAGCTCGGAAGCGGGAGCTCTGCTTTCAGAGGTACGTATCGAGAATGACTCAGACCAAAAATTTTCTAAGTCAAAATTTTCCAAATTTTTTCTGGAAACTACTTTTGTTCATGTTTCATGCTACCCTGATCATTCTGAGCCGAAAATATTTTTTTCGGTTTTCGAAGTCTAACATACGATTTTGGACTCGAGGGTTCCCCTTTGTAATGCGATCTCGGAAGGCAGGCCTCCCTTTCGCAATACGAGCTCGGAAGCGGGAGCTCTGCTTTCAGAGGTATGTATCGAGAATGACTCGGACCGAAAATTTTCTAAGTCAAAAATTTTCAAAGTTTTCTTGGAAAATACTTTTGTTCATGTTTCATGCTACCCTGATCATTCTGAGCCGAAAATATTTTTTTCGGTTTTCGAAGTTCAATATACGATTTTGGACTCGAGGGTTCCCCTTTGTAATGCGATCTCGGAAGGCAGGCCTCCCTTTCGCAATACGAGCTCGGAAGCGGGAGCTCTACTTTCAGAGGTATGTATCGAGAATGACTCGGACCGAAAATTTTCTAAGTCAAAAATTTTTAAAGTTTTTCTGGAAATTACTTTTGTTCATGTTTCATTCTGAGCCGAAAATATATTTTTTAGTCTTTTTGAAGTCTATATACCTACATTCGGAAGGTTGTGGATGTGATACTGATTGGTTTCATATACTAATTATAGAAAACGTGACATTTGGCCCTCAGATTTAAAGGAAAATGCGCAATTTGATGCGGAAAACTGAAAAAATCGCGATTTGTCGTGAGGCCAGGATCTGAAAACTCGAAATTCAGGCTTTGGCGCGAAGCGCCAAAAAATGTAGGCTGTGGCGCGAAGCGCCAAAAAATATTTAGAATTTGGCCCCCCCATGAAGAAAATCATTCCTACACCCCTGGGCACCTGTGTTGTGAGACAGTCTATTGTAGAGACACTCGTCATACTCGTGACAATGTCATACTCGTGACAATGTCATACTCGTGACAATGTCATACTCGTGACAATGTCATACTCGTGCTATTATAATACATGACACATTGACAGTTTACGAGTAATAGCACGTGCTTAAACATAGATTTTTAATTCATCATGTGCAGAAATGAGTAATACGGAATAAATGCTACTTTTTTATAACTATTGCAGCCTATTCTGAGTTCTATTCCATATCTTATCTTATTATATATAAAGCGAGACGATATATATGGATGGATCTGTGCCATTTTACTGACAACTTTAACACGACTTTTCGCAAAAAACCGTAAAAGATATAAAACTGAAACTTTTTTGACAGGGTCAAATGTTTAATGGCATTCAAAGCAGCATGAAAAATAAAAAACTGGCCATGAAATAAGAATTTTAGTGCCCAAAATTTGGATCCCCCGTAGTGTCAAAAATGCGATTTAAATTGGTAATAATTATTTCAGTCTTTTGAGTCTTGACACCATTTTAGGGTTATACGGGTTCCTGCTAGTATATATAGTGTATATATTATATATTATACAATTGCATATCTTACTTACAATTATTGTAACTTAGACATTTTACTAATAAACGCACAATTAGCTACTATTTAACTATACAGGTTGCAAAGTAGTTTGCTTTGGCTGCAACATTGTACAGTATACATTGTACAGTATACATTGTACAGTATACGAAGATAAAGATTACAAGATTTTATTTACAGTAGTTACATTAATGTAATCTTAATAATACAGACAAATCAAATAATTCTTCATCGATCATCATGACAGATTTAAACATTCAGGAAAATGCATTTTATTTATGCTTGGAGAACCCTAAATATTATTATTAACATCTGCCAAATTTATAGTTAGTGCTTTCTGATACTGAGAAATATAATTACATTATCATTTTGTAAAAGTAATTATAATTAGCTACAATACACAGGGCCCCACTACACACTACACAGGGGCCCCACTGTGCACTACACAGGGCCCCACTGTGCACTACACAGGGCCCCACTACACACTACACAGGGCCCCACTGTGCACTACACAGGGCCCCACTGTGCACTACACAGGGCCCCACTGTGCACTACACAGGGCCCCACTGTGCACTACACAGGGGCCCTACTGTGCACTACACATGAGCCCTGCTGTGCATTACACAGGGCCCCACTGTGCACTACACAGGGGCCCCACTGTGCACTACACAGGGCCCCACTGTGCACTACACAGGGCCCCACTGTGCACTACACAGGACCCCACTGTGCACTACACACTACACAGGGCCCCACTGTGCACTACACAGGGCCCCACTGTGCACTACACACTACACAGGGCCCCACTGTGCACTACACAGGGCCCCACTGTGCACTACACACTACACAGGGCCCCACTGTGCACTACACAGGGCCCCACTGTGCACTACACAGGGCCCCACTGTGCACTACACAGGGCCCCACTACACACTACATAGGGGCCCACTGTGCACTACACAGGAGCCCCACTGTGCACTACTAGAGTCTGATAGTCTCACAAGCGTATTACACTCTGAGGTCAGGTGATTTGTGTTACAGACAGAGTGGCTGGCTCACAGCCAACAAACACTATTTTAAATACTTTAACTGTTTACAGGTTAGCGCTGGTAAATTTACTTTTTGGAATATTATTGTTGATTGAGAGTTTGCAATGTGTATATTGGACGGACACTTCGTTATATGTACTGGATTTTATCCTGACAGAACTTAAAATCAGGATTAGTCAACGATACTTGTGTAGTTAAAACTGGATAGTAATATATATGCCTCATAATGTCTACATATTATTATGTGCAGATCACGAGCTGGTCACGTGCTGGTCACGTGCTGGTAACGTGCAGATCACGTGCTGGTCACGTGCTGGTCACGTGCTCTGTGTCGCGTAACACGTTTATTATTATTCCGCTGGAGTCTGCTTATCAAAAGCGAGACTATCAAATATTTAGAGTGTTGTTTTCCATGACTACTGATTTGTAAACGAAATGTTTTGTTATGTTACTAGTGACATAAATTAGGAATAATGTAGTACACGAAATGTTGACTACTTGACATAAATTAGGAATAATGTAGTACACGAAATGTTGACTACTTGACATAAATTAGGAATAATGTAGTACACGAAATGTTGACTACTTGACATAAATTAGGAATAATGTAGTACACGAAATGTTGACTACTTGACATAAATTAGGAATAATGTAGTACACGAAATGTTGACTACTTGACATAAATTAGGAATAATGTAGTACACGAAATGTTGACTACTTGACATAAATTAGGAATAATGTAGTACACGAAATGTTGACTATTTGACATAAATTAGGAATAATGTAGTACACGAAATGTTGACTACTTGACATAAATTAGGAATAATATAGTACACGAAATGTTGACTATAATGTAGTACACGAAATGTAGTGCGCATTATGCACTGCTACTGTGCATTATACACCAAATATAACGTTATTTAGAATATATATTCGCATGTATCCACACTATATTTACATTACACGTTCAACGTGATATCGTTATCAGTGC